CCCCCACCGCCACTCTCTTTCGTCGTATTTCACTATCTTTCGTTGTTACAACTTTTTAACATCCTCTCTCACCTTCCACTTGCACCTCTATCTTATTTAATTGTAAAAACTTTATTAAAAAAATTCACACATAATGATAATAAGCATCTTGATCGAGCTTTGACCGTGATAGGCCTTGCTTTGTGCTTCCTTCTTTCTTGTTATTGTTTAACAATTGTACGGTCGTAAAAATGAGATTCTATTATTTGTTAAAATATACGTCGCCTGAAAATGACGTTATTATTACTACTCTAGACAGATATTGCGAAGAATATTATTACGTCGACTCGCCATCAGAGGTCTACTCAATTGATATTCGTTAAATTTCTCGCAAGTGCTGAGATACACGTATGTCTCTTTATATAGAGTCTCGGTTTAATAACTTACACCGGCGTCTAAGGTAGGCTCCCACTACATTATCTTACTGATGAGTCCAGTAGTGGAAGCCGGGACGAAACGCCAACTTGTGATATTCTTCGCAATCTTATTTTTCACAGACTTCAATTATCAGTACTTTAATATTAAATTTTAATATATGTCTTCCAACATATGATTAAGATCTAATAAGATGCTATAAGCATCGAAATTTGTTAGATTGATTGTCAATCTAACTAAAGTGATATTACCGCGGTAGTTATTTAGAGTTGCGTTGTAAGTCTGAAAAAAATGTTCGGCACGCGATTGAGAGAACTACATACGCGATATGTAAATTCACACATAATGATAAGAAGCATCTTGATCTAGCTTTGACCGTGATAAGCCTTGCTTTGTGCTCCCTTCTTTCTTGTTATTTATTAAAAAAAATTTGTTTTAAATGAAGGTAATAAAAAAAATCGTTGCGTTAATGTTAGACGGTTAGTGAAAACAATCTTGGGGATTGTTTTGACGTGGAAGGACGGATGTGCGCGAGTTTCATATCCCCCCCCTCACCCGGCTCACCGATAAACCGTGCAGTCATCTTTTAAATACATATTAAATGAAATTATTGTTTTAAATACTCCCGACTGCTGATCGATATGATGTATACTTAAAACCATCACAGTACTATCACGAGTTAAATTATAATATATTACCACGAAAAGTAACTGATTATTAATTATTAAAGTTGCCAATACAAAGTGAACATACGTAAATTGTATTCGACTGTCATGGGACATTTCGACTGCCCGCGGAGCGGTGAGGGGGACAATGCAACATTTGGTTGATTTTCGAATCGCCTCCGTCTAGCTTTCGCTGTCCCTCTCATAACACCGCACCGCGCATAATATATTACTAGAAAAAATTACTGTTTTACATTTATTTAATAATTTTGATTTTTTAATAATTTTGTTTTATAATATGCAATCGCGTTAACGAAAAAAAATCAATATGTTGTTATAAATCTGACGTGTCAATATTAGACAGTTAGTGAAAGCAGCCTTGGGGATTGTTATCAAAACAACACATCAAATG